TTACTTAGGGCCACAGAATTGTTACTCGCACAGACACAGAATTGTTACTCGCACAGACACAGAATTGTTACTGAGGGCCACAGAACTGTTACTTGGGGCCACAGAAACGTTAATCAGGGACACAGAATTGTTACTGAGGGCCACAGAACTGTTACTTAGGGCCACAGAATTGTTACTCGCACAGACACAGAATTGTTACTCGCACAGACACAGAATTTGTTACTGAGGGCCACAGAACTGTTACTTGGGGCCACAGAAACGTTAATCAGGGACACAGAATTGTTACTGAGGGCCACAGAACTGTTAGGGCCACAGAATTGTTACTCGCACAGACACAGAATTGTTACTCGCACAGACACAGAATTGTTACTGAGGGCCACAGAACTGTTACTTGGGGCCACAGAAACGTTAATCAGGGACACAGAATTGTTACTGAGGGCCACAGAACTGTTACTTAGGGCCACAGAATTGTTACTCGCACAGACACAGAATTGTTACACAGGGACACAGAACTGTTACTGAGGGCCACAGAACCGTTACTTATGGCCACAGAATTGTTACTCGCACAGACACAGAATTGTTACTCGCACAGACACAGAATTGTTACTCGCACAGACACAGAATTGTTACTCAGGGACACAGAACTGTTACTGAGGGCCACAGAACTGTTACTTAGGGCCACAGAATTGTTACTCGCACAGACACAGAATTCTTACTCGCACAGACATAGAATTGTTACTCAGGGACACAGAACTGTTACTGAGGCCACAGAACTGTTACTTAGGGACACAGAATTGTTACTCGCACAGACACAGAATTGTTACTCGCACAGACACCGAATTGTTACTGAGGGCCACAGAACTGTTACTTGGGGCCACAGAAACGTTAATCAGGGACACAGAATTGTTACTGAGGGCCACAGAACTGTTACTTAGGGCCACAGAATTGTTACTCGCACAGACACAGAATTGTTACTCAGGGACACAGAATTGTTACTCAGGGACACAGAATCGTTTAATTAAAGAGTATGTCAGACAACATGCAGAGGAGTGCAGAGGAGGCAATGTTTTAGGAGCGAGCAGACGTGGCAGCAGAGGAAGGGGTCGAGGCAGCACTATTCGCAGCCAGAGGCCAGTGCTCCCGGTGTCATCCAGCGGTCGTGTCTCCACCGACAACCCTGCCGTCATCGATTGGTTGGCTCGGTCGTCTTCCTCTTCCCAGGTCACCTCTGATACCTACAGCCAACGGTCGGTGGGTACGTCAGACACAACCGTTAGTTGGCATGGCCCGGGACCAAGCCCACTGAAATCACGTGTCCTCTACCTGCCCCTGTCCTTTGGTGTTCCCTCACCAAGCGAAGTATCGCATGCTGTGGGCTCAGCCCCACTGTACAGTGAGGAAGAGCTAACAGAGGGCGGTCAGGAACGGGGGGAGACATCCGCCTTTTCAGCAGCCAGGCGAAGAAGTAGTGGCGGCGAGGAGAGTGGCCCGGTAGCCGGTCTAGAGACAGGTCTGTCTCCTGACCCAGACGCAGCCGAGGGGGCTAGTAGTGAGGCGGAGACCCTACTTGATGATGAGGAGGTTGATCGCACTTGGCAGCCTCGTCGTCATCAGGCAATTTCTTCCGCATCATCAGGAGAAGAGGGGTGGCAGCTTGGCAGTGAGCGAAACAGTCGGTGGGTTGCCCAGGAGACAGCAGCAGGGTCGCAGCAGTGTCAGTGGAAGCAGTGTCAGTGGAGCCAAACGGCCACGGAGTAGAGCACCAGCTCCACTGCAGCCTACCACCACGGCCAGTAGTGGTGCCGGTGTGCACGGAGGAAGCAGCAGTCAGCCAGTGAGGAGTATCGGGGGCAAAGTTTCCTACTCGGCGGTTGTGTGTGGCAATTTTTCGTCAAGCCGCCCGAGGAAGTAAACGTAGCCGTATGTCGACTATGTGGCCAGAAAGTCAAGCGTGGCCAGGGGGGGGGACTACAGCGTATTCATGCCATGTGCCACTTTCAGGTCTCCTCACACTGCTGGTGTGTTGAATTTTTTGACATAGGGTGCTGGCAGATTATGGGCCTCCTATAGCTGCTGCAAGGCCCTAATCTGCCATAGGCCCCTATATACCGCCTCCTCATGCTGCTTGCCAAGTTCAAGAGTCTCTCATGGGTCCCTGTACGGCCTCCCATTGCTGCTGTCTCCATCGCCACACTCTGCCATGTGCCACTTTCAGGTCTCCTCACACACTGCTGGTGTGTAGAATTTTTGACATAGGGTGCTGGCAGATTACGGGCCTCCCATAGCTGCTGCCAGGCCCCTAATCTGCCATAGGCCCCCTATATACCGCCTCCTCATGCTGCTGCCAGGTCCAGAGTCTCTCATGGGTCCCTGTACGGCCTCCCCATTGCTGCTGTCTCCATCGCCACACTCTGCCATGTGCCACTTTCAGGTCTCCTCACACACTGCTGGTGTGTAGAATTTTTTGACATAGGGTGCTGGCAGATTACGGGCCTCCCATAGCTGCTGCCAGGCCCCTAATCTGCCATAGGCCCCTATATACCGCCTCCTCATGCTGCTGCCAGGTCCAGAGTCTCTCATGGGTCCCTGTACGGCCTCCCATTGCTGCTGTCTCCATCGCCACACTCTGCCATGTGCCACTTTCAGGTCTCCTCACACACTGCTGGTGTGTAGAATTTTTTGACATAGGGTGCTGGCAGATTACAGGCCTCCCATAGCTGCTGCCAGGCCCCTAATCTGCCATAGGCCCCTATATACCGCCTCCTCATGCTGCTGCCAGGTCCAGAGTCTCTCATGGGTCCCTGTACGGCCTCCCATTGCTGCTGTCTCCATCGCCACACTCTGCCATGTGCCACTTTCAGGTCTCCTCACACACTGCTGGTGTGTAGAATTTTTTGACATAGGGTGCTGGCAGATTACGGGCCTCCCATAGCTGCTGCCAGGCCCCTAATCTGCCATGGGCCCCTATATACCGCCTCCTCATGCTGCTGCCAAGTCCAGAGTCTCTCATGGGTCCCTGTACGGCCTCCCATTGCTGCTGTCTCCATCGCCACACTCTGCCATGTGCCACTTTCAGGTCTCCTCACACACTGCTGGTGTGTAGAATTTTTTGACATAGGGTGCTGGCAGATTACGGGCCTCCCATAGCTGCTGCCAGGCCCCTAATCTGCCATAGGCCCCTATATACCGCCTCCTCATGCTGCTGCCAGGTCCAGAGTCTCTCATGGGTCCCTGTACGGCTCCCATTGCTGCTGTCTCCATCGCCACACTCTGCCATGTGCCACTTTCAGGTCTCCTCACACACTGCTGGTGTGTAGAATTTTTTTGACATAGGGTGCTGGCAGATTACGGGCCTCCCATAGCTGCTGCCAGGCCCCCTAATCTGCCATAGGCCCCTATATACCGCCTCCTCATGCTGCTGCCAGGTCCCAGAGTCTCTCATGGGTCCCTGTACGGTCTCCCATTGCTGCTGTCTCCATCGCCACACTCTGCCATGTGCCACTTTCAGGTCTCCTCACACACTGCTGGTGTGTTAGAATTTTTTGACATAGGGTGCTGGCAGATTACGGGCCTCCCATAGCTGCTGCCAGGCCCCTAATCTGCCATAGGCCCCTATATACCGCCTCCTCATGCTGCTGCCAGGTCCAGTGTCTCTCATGGGTCCCTGTACGGCCTCCCATTGCTGCTGTCTCCATCGCCACACTCTGCCATGTGCCACTTTCAGGTCTCCTCACACACTGCTGGTGTGTAGAATTTTTTGACATAGGGTGCTGGCAGATTATGGGCCTCCTATAGCTGCTGCAAGGCCCCTAATCTGCCATAGGCCCCTATATACCGCCTCCTCATGCTGCTGCCAAGTTCAGAGTCTCTCATGGGTCCCTGTACGGCCTCCCATTGCTGCTGTCTCCATCGCCACACTCTGCCATGTGCCACTTTCAGGTCTCCTCACACACTGCTGGTGTGTAGAATTTTTGACATAGGGTGCTGGCAGATTACGGGCCTCCCATAGCTGCTGCCAGGCCCCTAATCTGCCATAGGCCCCTATATACCGCCTCCTCATGCTGCTGCCAGGTCCAGAGTCTCTCATGGGTCCCTGTACGGCCTCCCATTGCTGCTGTCTCCATCGCCACACTCTGCCATGTGCCACTTTCAGGTCTCCTCACACACTGCTGGTGTGTAGAATTTTTTGACATAGGGTGCTGGCAGATTACGGGCCTCCCATAGCTGCTGCCAGGCCCCTAATCTGCCATAGGCCCCTATATACCGCCTCCTCATGCTGCTGCCAGGTCCAGAGTCTCTCATGGGTCCCTGTACGGCCTCCCCATTGCTGCTGTCTCCATCGCCACACTCTGCCATGTGCCACTTTCAGGTCTCCTCACACACTGCTGGTGTGTAGAATTTTTTTGACATAGGGTGCTGGCAGATTACAGGCCTCCCATAGCTGCTGCCAGGCCCCTAATCTGCCATAGGCCCCTATATACCGCCTCCTCATGCTGCTGCCAGGTCCAGAGTCTCTCATGGGTCCCTGTACGGCCTCCCATTGCTGCTGTCTCCATCGCCACACTCTGCCATGTGCCACTTTCAGGTCTCCTCACACACTGCTGGTGTGTAGAATTTTTTGACATAGGGTGCTGGCAGATTACGGGCCTCCCATAGCTGCTGCCAGGCCCCTAATCTGCCATGGGCCCCTATATACCGCCCTCCTCATGCTGCTGCCAAGTCCAGAGTCTCTCATGGGTCCCTGTACGGCCTCCCATTGCTGCTGTCTCCATCGCCACACTCTGCCATGTGCCACTTTCAGGTCTCCTCACACACTGCTGGTGTGTAGAATTTTTTGACATAGGGTGCTGGCAGATTACGGGCCTCCCATAGCTGCTGCCAGGCCCCTAAAAATGCCATAGGCCCCTATACCGCCTCCTCATGCTGCTGCCAAGTCCAGAGTCTCTCATGGGTCCCTGTACGGCCTCCCATTGCTGCTGTCTCCATCGCCACACTCTGCCATGTGCCACTTTCAGGTCTCCTCACACTGCTGGTGTATTCCATTTTTTGTCATAGGGTGCTGGCAGATTACGGGCCTCCCATAGCTGCTGCCAGGCCCCTAATCTGCCATGGGCCCCTATACCGCCTCCTCATGCTGCTGCCAGGTCCAGAGTCTCTCATGGGTCCCTGTACGGCCTCCCATTGCTGCTGTCTCCATCGCCACACTCTGCCATGTGCCACTTTCAGGTCTCCTCACACTGCTGCCAGGCCCCTAATCTGCCATGGGCCCCCGTACCGACTCCTCATGCTGCTGCCAGGCCCGTAATCTGTCATGGGCCCCTGTTGTCGCTTGTTGGCATATTCCGCTCGTTCAGATGCTCCTTCTCCTGCTACTCCTCTTCACGGATTCCGTCAGCAGTCTTTCTTGGAATCCGTTTCCAAGAGACAACAGTTTTGCGAGCACGCACCAGACGGTGCAGAAGCTGAACGTCCTCCTGTCCAAGTTGCTGCTGCCAGGCTCGTAATCTGTCATGCGCCCCTGTACCGCCTCCTCATGCTGCTGCCAGGTCCAGAGTGTGTCATGGGCCCCCGTACCGACTCCTCATGCTGCTGCCAGGCCCGTAATCTGTCATGGGCCCCTGTACCGCCTCCCCATGCTGCTGCCAGGTCCAGAGTGTGTCATGGGTCCCTGTACGGCCTCCCATTGCTGCTGCCAGGCCCGTAATCTGCCATGGGCCCCCGTACCGACTCCTCATGCTGCTGCCAGGCCCGTAATCTGCCATGGGCCCCTGTACTGCCTCCTCATGCTGCTGCCAGGTCCAGAGTGTGTCATGGGTCCCTGTACGGCCTCCCATTGCTGCTGTCTCTATCGCCCACTCTGCCATGTGCCACTTTCAGGTCTCCTCACACTGCTGGTGGTTTCCATTTTTGTCATAGGGTGCTGTATGGCCTCCCATTGCTGCTGCCTCCACCGCCACACTGTGGCTCCACATTCTGGTTTTGGCCCCGTGACTGCCCAAATGAGTGAAGTGTGCGGTGATTCTAAGATCGACGGCACTCATCTGCATGTCATACTGCCTGACAGTATTATTTCTCTTCCCCAGCAGACTCCAAGGGCATTTAAATTAAAGGTACAGTGTTCAGCACTAATATTAAGTCTCTCTGAAGCCTAGAAACACCCTTTTTTAAGTTAAATTCACAGCGAATATATTCGACTCGAATCGAAATTTTTCCACGAATTCGCCGAATCAGTCGAATCGAATTTTTGAATACTTCGCTCATTTCTACTGGTGACGTTTGGCTAGAGAGAGGACTGATTTCCAAGTTCATAGCAGGGACACAGAATTTCAGAGGTTTAAAGAGTTTTGGGTGGGAAGAACCTCCAAACCCTGACTACCAGGACTCTGGATCCAAAGGGGTTAAGCCCCAGGCAAAGGAGGCTTTAAAGGCAGCAGGGTGAAATTAGCACCTGTGTCTGAAAGTGAGTATAGAAGAACTCAGGGGTTGGGAGCTGGGTGAATGCTTAGGGACTGAGACACTTGTTGCTGAACCCCTGCAGCCTGTATGGCACCCTGAAACCTGGAGAAACCCTACTCTAGTGTGGGACCAAGAAACTGGTGGTTCCTTTGTGCTACATCTGTGGAGGAACTAATAAAGAACTGTTTTTCTTCTGGTGATGTTGAGCCCTCCATATGACATGGTAGAGTGCAGGTTTTCAAACATGACCCAATCCATAGAGGTTGAGCAGATTATTTTATACCCTATGGAATGTGTTACACTGAGTTATTATACAGTAATAATGGCAAAATACCAACTTTTCCTTACATATGTGCCACATTACCAAAGCCATATCAATATCGTGTTATCTTGTGTAGGAAAGTGCCATATTGCAAGACCCAAAGACAACCTCATCCACGTGAAGTTGTATTACATATCTTAAATCTGATTTAAACACTTCAATAGTTACCTTCCTTTCACTAATGTGGTAGTGTCAATATCATCTTCCTGGCTTCTTCTAGGCTCTAAGTCTTTGGCCATCTTAATTGACCATGCTTGGATGACAGAACTCCGGTACATGAATATGGGAATTCTTTCATCCCAGTTTTGAGGCATGCTAGGAATGTACACTGAGCTGCACATGAGCATCTCAGTGTACATTCCAAAGAATCTTGCGAGGAGATTGCCCCGAATAGAAAAAAAAAAACCCTCTTCCCTCTCTTCTCATATGCAAATTTCCTCTTTAAAATATTTTAGAAATTGGCTTGGCTAAAGATGCCTATACACTGGTAATGGTGTACATTAATGATTTAAATACATTCCAGAACCACGAGCGCCTGTCAGAATAACTAGATTGTAAGCTCCAAGGAGCAGGGCCCTCCTTTCCCTCTTGTATTGAACTGTATTGTTGCTGTATTGTCTCCCGTTATATTGTAAAGCACTGAGCAAACTGTTGGCGCTATATAAATCCTGTATAATAATAATAACTCAGCTGAATGTTCTTATTTCTGTTAATAGGCAAGCAATGAGCAAGAGGGGAAAGGAGCTGAAGTTCCTATGGAGGAGGAACTGAGTATTATTATTATTATACAGGATTTATATAGCGCCAACTGTTTGCTCAGCGCTTTACATTATAGAGGGAGACAATACAGTAACAATACAGTTCAATACAAGATGGATTTGAGGGCCCTGCTCCTTGGAGCTTACAATCTAGGAGAGAGGGGTGAATGGTACAGTAGGTAGTCACTGTGGGGGATGGAGTTGTTGGAAGAGTATTCCAGAATTAGCAGAGGGCGGGATAGGCTTCGCTGAAGAGAGAGGTTTTCAGTGATCGCCGAAAGGCAAGTAGAGTAGGTGATAGATTGGGGTAGGGAGTTCCAGAGGATGGGTGATGCCCTGGAGAAGTCTTGGAGACGAGCATGGGAGGAGGAGATAAGGAAGCTAGAGAGTAAGAGGTCTTGCGAGGAGCGGAGTGTATGGTTTGGATGATATTTAGAGATAAGATCGGTTATGTAAGTTTGGTCAGTGTTGTGGATGGCTTTATATGTCAATGTCAGAGTTTTGAATTTTATCAGTTGGGCAAGTGGGAGCCAGTGGAGGGATTGGCAGAGAGGGGTGGCAGATACAGAATGGTTAGTGAGGTGGATGAGTCTGGCAGCAGCGTTCATGACAGACTGGAGGGGGGATAGCCTGCGATGAGGTAGGCCAATAAGGAGGGAGTTACAGTAGTCGAGGCGTGATATAACAAGGGAGTGAATAAGTTGCTTAGTGGTTTCCGTGGTTAGGAACGGTCGTATCTTGAAGATGTTGCGGAGGTGAAGTCTACATGATTTTGTCAGCGATTGGATCTGGGGCTGGAAGGACAGATGGGAGTCTAGGATTACACCTAGTACCCTGGCGTGAGGGGATGGACTGAGGATGATGTTAGCAATGTTTATGGTGAAGTCAGTGGAGGTGGCGCGGGCAGGGGGGAATACTAGGAGCTCAGTTTTGGAAAGGTTGAGTTTGAGAAAGTGGAGTGACATCCAATCTGATATGTCGCTTAGTAGGCTAGCGATGTGGGTGGAAACTGAAGGGGTGAGGTGAGGGGTAGACAGATAGATTTGCGTGTCATCAGCATAGAGATGGTAATTGAAGCCGTGGGAGTTTATCAAGTGACCAAGGGAGGAGGTGTAGATGGAGAAGAGAAGGGGTCCAAGGACAGAACCTTGGGGGACCCCTACAGAGAGGGAGTGAGGAGGAGGTGGCAGCGTTATAGGTAACACTGGAGGAGTGCTGCGATAGATAGGAGGAGAACCAGGAGAGAGCGGAGTCGCTGAGGCCAAAAGAGTGTAGTTTTTTGAGGCGGAGGGGATGGTCAACCATGTCAAAAGCCGCGGAGAGGTCGAGTAGTAGGAGTATTGAATAGTGGCCGTTGGTTTTTGCAGTAGTAGTATTTCTATTGTAGCTGTAGTTGTCACTTAATTCTGAAGGTACAGTACTTCATAAATCAGTCAAAATGAAAAGCTTCATCCATTTCTGTGTAGTCTTTTTTTTTTTTTTAATGTACCGGATACCAGGAGTAGTTCATTCTGCCATATAATTGAAGAGCACAGGAAAGAACTGGATTTCCTAAGCATTTTTTTTTAAAACATAAACTCTTTTTCCTCCTGGCGGGGAGCAAAGAAATGGTGAACATATATTGCTGGGGAGGGATTAAATAAAGTGAAGCCGGGTAAAGCACAGGTTTATTTTTAGGGAGGCAGTTATCTCACTAGGAACTGAATTGTTGTTGTCTGCCCATCATGATTCAGAAGAGTTCCTCACACCCCCCTCCACAATCTATTCTGTTCACAGGAAGCCCTGTAAAGTTTAAATTAAAAATAACTTACACTCTATGTCACCAGTGTCATGTGTATGCCTCGCAGTAAATATTTCTTTGTAAAAGACTTTGGGGGTCTATTTTATAAAATTTTAGGACAAATGTTACAAGAATTTGCACAGCTGTCAAGAATTATACCCGTATTTTGTCCAATATGTTTATTTCCTATGACCTATAGTTCCATCTAGTGTCCATAATGCATTATTTGTGTGAATGAGGCATTTCAGGGAAATATCACATTATGGCCACTACATGGGGCTGACAATAATAGTAGATAAACATATTATACAAAATACGGGGATATTCTAGACCACGGGTTTCAAACTGGTGGCCCTCCAGCTGTTGCCAAACTTGAGGCATTGCAAGATTGACAGTTACGAGCATGACTCCCAAAGACAGAGGCATGATGGGACTTGTAGTTTTGCAGCAGCTGGAGGGCCACCAGTTTGACACCCGGTCTAGACTGTTGTGCATATGCTTCTGACATTTGTCCAACAATTTTTTTAATAAATAGACCCCTGGGTGTAAACAGTAAGGTAGAAAAAAATCGGTTTAAAAAGCTTTAAAACTTAAAGAAAAAATAAAAATAAAATGCCCAAACCATTTTTACTTTTAAATTCCAAAACGATCCGTGCAGAAATGTTCTAACAAAAGGTATTTACTTCATTCAGTTGTGTTATCTCTTTCACCTAACTAATCCACATTTCTCAGATTCAAAACGTAATAAAAAAAGGCTGTTAACCTGTCTTTTTTTTTAACTTCAGCAGATCACCACCCTCAGCTGCAATAAATAAGTCGATTCTTTTTCCCTAGAAAAAAAAAATACTTTCATTAATTCACATTTATATAAGAAAGTACAAAAGGTGGAAAGTCTTCAGATCTCAGTCTGTTGCGTTTCACACCCCTCTAGGCTCTCATACACAGACAGGGTTGAACAGCGTAAGGTCTTGTACTATGGATGGGAACTAATTATTTAAATTGGCCTGGTTAAAAAAATATAGTAAGAGACAAAGTTTAAAATTACAACTAATATCTTTTTTATTCAGATACAGTTATATTAAAGCAGAACATTTTTTCTTGAGTTTAGCGAGTAAGAGTTTGAACCCTGTTAAGCATTTACTTATACCTGGGACCACCGGAAGGTTAACCTGCCCCACCAACAGTCCTACTTTGACAGGGATACATTTCTTTCAAAATAGATGTAAGGCCAATCGCTAAAATCTCATACAAGCTTTCATGTGTTAATGCCTTTTCAAATGGCATGTCCTTATTTTAAAATTTGCTGATATTATTTAAATAATATCTGGCGATCCTGTTGTAAAGACCCTTGATCAAGCACTTCCTGTTATATAGTTGCCAACATAAATTTTCCAGGTACATCTATTTTCTTCTTGTACTTTAGGTGTGGGGACATTCATTTGTAGCACCCTCCTCCCTTCTGGGCAGTACAGCTGAAATTTCGCAGAAGCTGACCGAGATCCCAGGTCATCAGTGCTGGGTGCGGGGGGCTATTTTCTGAGAATAGCTGGAACTGACCAGGGGATTTCACTGAGAATCTGGTCTGGGAATTCACAGGAGAAATGTCTGTCTGATATTGGGAGGAGGTATCCAAGTATCTAGGGACATAGTGAGTACAGACCTGAGTGTGGGATCCTAGTGACTGTCTTACTTTCTCTTCTTTTTTTTTTTTTGTTTTATAATTGTAAATTTTTATTAAGGGCCAAAGCCCAAATTTTTAAACAGAACACAATTTCAACAATTACACGTTATGTGGAAACATTGCAATGACAGAAATCT